CATGGCCGTGACGGATGTGCTGCCTGCTCTTATCTGGGATATTCTGAGGGAGGAGGTCCCCAGTGAAGCCGAGCTGTGCAGACGTCTGTGTGCTCATCTCTGTCTGTGTCTCTGTCTCTGTGTGTGACTGTACAATGTCCGTCTCATTGACTGTCTCGTCTTCTTCGTGTCTGTCTGGCTTTTTAGTGATGGTGTGAATTGCATGACATTGGGAAAGAAAACTAAATGGTCAAATGAATCCGAAAATTCGCACATAAGTGACCCAGAATCAAAATTGTTCTTTGTCCTGTAAAAATCTGAGCTATGAAGCTTTTTCACAGATGTCCAGCATTTTAATATATTTAACGTTTAATATATATGTCCAGCATTGAACATCTAATTTAGTATCTGAAGGTGCAAGTACATTCATGGCCATTGTTTTGTAAGGAAGATCTGTATAACTGCTGATAATTTAAGGACCGTTATTCAAAAAAATATAGTCTTTAAATTGTGTCCATTGTGATGTTGTAGCAGAAAATTATCCTACACTTGGAAATAATGGTACGTAATCGTTAACATTGCCATGACAAGAGCAGGTGAACGTTGGTAATTCTCATTCGCTTTTATCAGGGACTAGCGGGAAGTACCCAGCGTTGCCCGGGCGAAAAAGACACACACACATCGACTTACACACACATACACACACAGACATCGACCCACACACATATAGAAACACATCGACTTACACACACATGGACTAACACTCGCATGTGGACTTAGACACAGACATCGACGGACAAACACACATTGACTAGCACACACATGGAAACACACACTTATGGACTTACACACACATGGACTGACACACAAAGATCCCACATATAGCCTTAACAGACTGTAGGGGCAAGTGCTGTTAGCGAGCACCTATAAAGGCCGGAACGGTACACGAGGGGGTGGGTGGCCAGCACTACGCCCGACCGCCTTTGTCTCTCCAGTGGCGATGTTTACACACCGCACCAGGTACTCATTTGAGGCTGAGTCGACCTAGGGGAGGCCCGGGACCGGTTCAGATAATCGTCACTGGTGTTGGCCGTGAGCGGGAATCGAACCCGGGTCGCCAGGTTCATAGCGCAGCGCGCTAACCGCTACACTACCGGAGTTACACACACACACACACATCGACTAAGACACACACATGGACTTACACACACACATGGACCCACGCACACACATGGACTTACACAATAACACATACATAGAATCACACACACATCTACCGACACACACACAAATGGACTTACAGACATAGACTCACACACACATCGACTCACACATGCACATAGAGCCACACAAAACACATCGACTTACACAGACATATCGACTGACACACACACATAGCGACTCGCACAGACTGACACACACACATGGGAATTACACACACGCACACATCCACTTACACACACACGTACATCGACTGACACACACACACATATCGACTTACAAACACACATTGACTCACACACACACACAAAGAAATGGGACTTACACACACACATCGACTCTCACACATCGACGCAGACACGCACATGGACTCACACGCACACATGGACTTGGACACGCACAATATTATTTTATAATTTACCAACTTAATTTTGAAATATTAGTTGTCTACACACAAATATTACTTTTAATAATTCCAAAGTATTTTTAACATATAAGTTTTCTATCTACGTGATGTTAGCGAAAGAAGCAAGAAAATAGCACTCAACATTGCCGTGGTGAGGCCGAGTCCCGCGCAGAGCCCCCGGCCTCGCCTAGATTGCCCAGCCGGCCGAGGTGGCAATTTGGCAGGCTGGGGCTGGGCCGCTACCCCCCTCCATCCACGATCCTCCCGCCTGCTGTGCAGTAATATGTACGGCTATAGTAGTAGCATCTACCGACTCTATAGTGGTAACTGCACGCATTGGGGTGGGGGGGGGAGAAGAGGACATAACACTGTGAAGAATTGACCTCGGCGTTTTGTGTATTTTAAATGCATTATTAACGTGAATGAGAATCCCCCTCCACTGATGGCGTGTGTGTGTTGCTAGGGGCAAACCCCGGTCAGCGTTTCGCGCATGCGCAAATCTGTGCTGTGTCGTTCGCAGAGCGGCGCGAGGAAATAATTAAGTAATCAAGTTAGTGGAATGAATTTTTATTATTTAACTACTTTGAAGTTGATGGATGGGAAAACGGAATAGCGCTGGCTCACCACGGGGCTTACGGCGTGGTACCTGGCTACCTTTTTTTTTTTAAATGTTAACCCCACAGTTTGCGAGCCAAATCCTTCACAAGTGTGCGTCCACAGACAGACGGACAAAAAATTACGTTTTTCGGTAAGATTGCCGCCGAATGTTTATTAAAGAAGTTGAGCGTGTACTCGTACAGATTGCAACTCAACTGTTTTTACGCAAAAACATCAAAATCTATAAATGAGCACCGACAATTTTACGCTTGGCGATTTTGTGGGTGCGCAAATGCTCAAAGGTTACCCGGTGCACAGACATGTGGCAGAAATCGATATTCGCTTGCTTTGCATTGGTGCGCTCGCACCACAGAATAGTTGTTCAGGTCATCGGGAGGGCAGGCGAAGTACAACCTCCCATCGCTGCCTCAGCCGCTGCTCACAATCCCCCCCCAGCCTCCACATTTACCAGAAAAATGTCTAGCTCATTGCTGTTAACCTGAGATGGGTTAGGCTGCACTACCTGTGTACACAAACATGTTAAGTGTTTAATGTGCTAAGATGTTAATTATATTAAACGTTTCGGCCTACGTTAATGTATGCCCAGGTTAATGTATAATGCACGTAATGTTAACACCATGGTATCACGTGTGTATACTGGATGCTAATAAAATAACCAGGTCGCATCAATGAAATGCACACTGGAAGTGCTCCAGTAGCTTGATAAGTTAGGATGAGAAGGCATAAATCGTACTGCTTTTGTAAAGTGGACAGTAAATACTCTGATTAAAATTGCGTGGTGTTTGCTATAGAGAGAAAATGTTAAAGTCCACAAAGTGTGCTCTGCTGCAAAGTGGAAAGCAAATACCGGGCATGTAGAAGTGCTTCAAATCAACTAAAATAAATATTCACATTTTGAATTAACTTTTGTAACTGCAGCAATTCATATTCTATGGTTCTTTTGGTAAAGTCACGTAGATAGAAAAATAATAACAATAAAATAATAATAAAAATTTAAATAAAGTGAATAAAAATAAAATATGACGACGTTTCGAATCACAACACAAGCGGTCGTCATTAGGAACAGGGAGGTTAGCCTCTGAGGAGGAGCTGAATAGGCAGCTGTGAGCCGACAGCAGTAGCTCAAAGAGTTTATAAAGGTTTAGAAATGGGCGGGGCAGTTAATGTGGGAGAGGGCCCGACACCGGCAGTACGTCTACACCAATCAAAGAGCTGTTTAGAAAGGTTTAGAGATGGGCGGGGCAGCTAATGTTAATGTAGGAGAGGGCTCCAATGCCGGCAGTAGGTCTACACCAATCAAAGTGCTGTTCATAAAGGTTTAGAGATGGGCGGGGCAGCTAATGTCAATGTAGGTGACGGCTCCGACACCGGCAGTAGGTCTACACCAATCAAAGCATTGCACCTCGCTCCACACACCCACACTGCTGACGGGGGAGGTGGACAAGAAAACACAAAGCAAGTCATGATCCAAAGTGGTTGATGACATCTTTCCAATGATTGCCGAGTTTAAAACCGTCATCTCAGTTGAAATTGTGTCTGTGTCTGTATATATGGATGGCTTCGTGAACGAATCTTTGTTGATAGCCAGTGGGCTTGCAAAGTACCATCGTCGTAGAGAAATCAATTTCATGTGAGCCAGCCGCATTAAAGTAATGATCAGCCACGGCAGAAGTATTGGTCCTGCCGTGTTTCAGATCTGCCTTATGTTCACGGACAAGGTCTGAGACATGTCGTTTGGTTTCCCCAATGTAACTACTGCCGCAGACACAGCTTGGTTTGTAGACGCCGGGATATTGCATCTCAAGAATATTGTCCTTCACAGATGGGATCAAATCACGAATTTAATGCAACGTGTTAAATCGGACCTGGATCTTGTGTTTGTTCAAGATTTTTGAAATATTTTTGGTTTCCCTGCTATGTATGGCAAGGTGATGGTTTTGATTGGATCTTCAGATGGCTCCTTCCTCACGGTTGGGGTGATGGCTTTTTGGATTGTGTAGTCAGAATATTAATTCGCCTTGAGAGCTTGGTGTACGTGTTGAGTTCACTGGTCAGATGTTCATGGTCGTAGATGCATTGAGCTCTATGGTGTAGCGTTTTGATGAGGGAATTCTTCTGGAATGGATGGTGGTGGGAATCAGGTATTTTAGGCAGGCGTCGGTATGGGTTACTTTCTTATATTCCTAAATAATCACGTGTCAGATCGTACATGTGAATATCAACAATTTACAACGTGTGCAAATTGAATGCACATAATTTGATGTTAAATTGAGGCTAATGGAGTGAAGTCGCCTGTAGGAATCACATTGAGCTTAGATTGCCGTGTGCATAGCAAAGTGTGCTAACCACTGTACCATCACTCAACTAGCTGTAAACCCAGAAGTGTATGTATGTATTATATTGGACTTATTTAGCACCGTATGAAGCCAACCGCGCAAATCAGAGATGTACATTTGTATGCACACAGTATGTTGACTGTGTGTGTATTGCATTGTAGATGCAGTACATTTGTGATTGTTTTAGGTGCGTTAATGCGCCCTAGTTCAACTCGGCCTAAAATATGTGCCTGCTTAATTGTTGTCCTCCCTTGTCAGTACCTGAGAGGGCTGCTTCGTGTGTAAGATTGCCCCTGCCGACCCTTCGTGTACCCTATGCTGGCCTTAATACTGTCTCCCGTACAGCGCTTACCCAAAATGGTATAAGTTTGAGCAAGGGATCTTTATCTCTGCTTGTTTTATTGTACTGATGTGTGTAATGTTGCACATGTGTTCCCCAGGCCAGGTCATGGCTGCCTCCTCCAAGGTTGTGTTTCGCCAGAAATCCAGGTTCCTGCTGTCCCGAGTGGAGGGCCAGAAGGAGACAGCTGAGACTCCGGCCAACAATGATGACGCGTACATGGGTAAGTGTGTGTGTGTGTGTGTGTGCTTGGGTGTATGTAGTGTGCCTTGCCTGCCTGGCACAGGCGCCGTGGTGACGTTACGTCTCTTCGTGGCGATTAGCGGGTATTGGTAGTGTAGCTGTTGGCATGATGCGCTGCCAAACCAGCTAACAGAGTTCGATTCCCGCTCACGGCCTACACACGTGAAAATTATCTGAATCGGTCCTGGGCCTCCCCTCGGTCGACTTGGCCTCAAATGAATACCTGGTGCGGTGTGTTGAACTTCGCCACTAGGGAGACAAAGGCGGCCCAGTGTGCTTGCTGGCCACCAATCCCCTCGTGTGCCATGCCGGTCATCGTACTTGCTCTCTAACAGGACTTTACTCAACAGTCTGTTCAGGCTATACGGGTGGATCTGGGGATTTTTGTCTTTTTCTTTGCACTAAAGCTGCCTTCACTGTCTTGGTGACTCTTGAGTGATGGGATGGGGGATGGCAGGCTGTTTGTGTGTGTGATCTATGGGCCTGCCAAGCCTAGGATGTGTGGCTGCAGCTTTACACTTGGTCATGAAAGTTTTTTGCTTCAGCATTTATTTTATGTCCACATAAACTGCGAAATATTGAAATACAGTAAAACCTTGGATTGCGAGCATAATTCGTTCCGGAAACGTGTTTGTAATCCAAAGCACTTGTATATCAAAGCACTTGTATATCGGTTGTGATCACGTGACGCTTGGCAGACAAAGCGTATACGTACTACTCGTATTGCAAGACCTCGCTCGTTTATCAAATTAATATTAAATTTTTTTGCTCATCTTGCTAAACACTTGCAGACCAAGTTACTCGCAATCCAAGGTATTGCTGTACATAGTTACGCCATCTAACCCAAAAGCCTCTATTATATACTACATGTTGTTAAGTCCCTTCTCATGAACCTGGTTGGAAAAGAATGTGGTTCACAAAATCGTTATTTTCACTGAATGGGAAAGCGTTTAATATTTGGCTGTCAAGTTCTCCTCACGAGAAACACAAATCGACTGAAATGTTGACTAAGCTTTCTTTACTTTTTAAAATTATTTCTTTTGCTAGGTAGGTGTTTTATTAATGTGCAGTGTGTGTGTGGACTACATATGTAATATTTGCTGTGCTTGCAGGTTATTCTGTGGCTGTTGGAGAATTCACAGGAGACTCTGTGCAAGGCAAGTTGTGTGATTTAATTTGAACAATGCAGATGTTTTGGTGGGTAACATTGCACAAGTCCTGTCGATGCACATACCTTATTTCCGACTCGAACTCTTGAATGAAAAAAAATGCACCTAGTCTCGATTTGGCAAAACAAAACTTGCATACAAATGCCCCTGCTTTCAATTTTAAGATTTATATATATTTTTGTATTACTATTATTGGGAATTTTACTTTTTCAACTCTTAACGAGTGATCCATCTCTGTGTTTGATTTAGAGTTTGTCACCGGTGTGCCGAAAGGATCCAGTACGTTTGGATACGTGAGTACATTTTTGTTAGCTTTGAAATAAATCAACATTGTGATTGTTCTGATGGAAAAAGGCCTGCGCGCTTTCATCAATAGAATAACGCACTTCTGCTTTGTACGCACAATTAACGCAAGTGAGAAAATAAGCGTTGCTTTCGGTGGGAAAGCCAGGTACTGTGCAATGTCTAAACGTCCATTTCTGCTGATGCTTTTTCATTCTGGTTGTAAGTCAGCCAGGCAAATTGAATGCAGCATTATAACTAAGAATATCAATAGCAAAGGCAGTTATACCAGCTGTTGTTTCATTTCCACATCGATTGCTTTCCGAAGCACAATAAAAGCTGGGATATAAATTCAGTAGTTAAAGCGGAATGAAAAAGCTTGCAAAAATAGCCACATCTATTATACAAATTCCGTATCATAAGATGGTGATTAAGTAATTACCTCAAGTTTATAGCCTACTGAGATGTGTATGGCTAATGCATGCATTTTACATCATGCTGTGGTGAGCATTGCTGCTCTTGTGGATTATGAAAAGTTATCATTCATTATTTAATAATTTAATGACCCGTTTATAATTTGCAACTCAGAAAATGCTAACAAATGACACTAACACATCGCACGGTTTAGAATGAATAGAATTAATATTATGATTGTCAGACAATTTGTTTAAATAGTTTCAAGGGACAAATGTACAGAAAGATGAACCTAAAGTAAAAATAATAACTGCTTAGCAGATTTTGTCATCCTAAAATATTTAGAATTTTTTTTTTGCATTGTGTGAAACTTATCCAAAGACAAACAGCATTACCTTCGCACATTTCCTGTATTGTGAGCCTACACATAGATGCCTTGTGCATTCTATGTCTGTCATGGTTGTGGTTATACCCGTATGCACGGGTATAACCACAACTGCATCATGTGCTCTGCTAGCCTTAATCGGCAACTGCTATCGGCACTTTCCCCAATAGTCTCTGAAGCTAAAGCAAGTGTCTTGTATCTTTGCTGGGCTGGGTGTTTGTGTGTTTTACTGCTTTCTGCTTTTATATATGCCTTTTGACAAACCTAAGTATATACAGCTGCACAAGTGAAATGTGTAAACAAGTTCTTCCATATTCTTGGTTCTTTCGGTAAAGTCACGTATTTTTTTTAATTCTTTTTTATTTTATTGTTTCCCTTCTACGTGACTTTACCGAAAGAACCAAGAATATGAATCCCTGCAGTCATGAAAGCTTTAAATCAAAATTTAAGTTCTTCCAATTAAAACAATGTGCATATAGCGGTCGTTTTAACAAATGCCATACTTCATAACTCTGCTGCGTTGAAGATCAAGCGAGTAGCCTTGAGCCCCCTGAGTGTTCGCGTGTCCTGTTCCATGTTAAGCCCTTGATTGTTGCTCTGTTTCTCAAAGGTGCTCATCCTCAACACAACAGACATGAGCACTCTCATGAACGTCACAGGAGAACAGGTATGTCTCCAACTCACTACAGCACATTGTCACTGCGTGCAGGGGATAGCTGGCTCCCCATGTCTGGGTTCACAACCGGTCTCACGTGAGAGTGGCCACTCGTACGGTACCATCGGGATGTAATGTTAAGCTGCTGCTATTTTTTTTTCCTAGCTTGAACCCTGGAATGTATGAAGGGAGCCGGCAGTGAAATGAGGGTTAACAACATAAATCGGTATACAAATACACCTCCTTTCCATGTGTGAAGAGACAAATAAAGGTTAGGGTGGACAGCCAAGGGCTCTGGAGCACTCATCATCACACCACGTAACCCTGACACGAAGTCAAGTTTTACTTTGGTGTCAACAGAATTCGCGGAATAAAAGGCATGTGGTGTTCACTTAACGTCGCACATTCACCACTAAATGTACTATTTGCAGTCGGTAATGGATATATCTGCACCACCAAATAATGTTGCTGTTGTTTATTCCAAATGTTGCCCTCGTCTATGGAGACAAGTTTAGTTCTTTTCAATAGCATGAATATATTGGCAGTGGCATGATATATTTCATACAGAAAATTTGTATATTAACGGTTTTTCTATTTGTAACACATTGTCACAATTTAAGTGTTTTAACTTGTAACACGTTTGGAAAAAAAGATACATTATTATTTTTGGCATTATGCGCTGCTCTGACATGATCTTGGACACTGAAGCATACACATACGGCTGCGTTGGGTTGTGCTGTCGGAGAGGTTTGTCCATTGGTAGCGCTGGGTATCTTTTAACCTTCCGTCAGGTGCAGGGGTAATGCCTATAGCACCGTGATGACTAAGTGCACTTCATTTATGAGGCAGCGTCTTGCTGATGACACCGTAAACTCGGATGTTCCAAGGTTGTCTTGTTTTTTTTAACGTCTGCTGAGATGTGCAATTTGGCTTACTTTTGACAGCTGTCGTATGCATAATGTTTGCATGTCCATTGTATTTATATTTTGTAATGATTGCCATTTTATGATACTGTATATACATTAAATTAGTCACTCTTTTTGCATTACTATAGTGATAATCATCTGATCAGCCCTTATAGGGGATGCTGTTAGTGGATTGTATTGTCCTACATATTTGCACCTTTTTCTTCCCTTAGCTACTTGTCCATGCTTTTGGGTGGATAATAGATTGAAAGTTGTACTTCTATTGAGATCTTTCTGGGTCCATTAAGGTTGGGTCAAATCTGCACGTAAACACAGATAATCGAATGTGTGACCGACGTCTGGGTTACTCCCGTTATCCACGTGTAATGTAGCACTCGGAGACACTGTCTTGCTCAAGTATGTATATATTTAAATGTACTGTCTATTCCGCTCCGCCCAACGCGATGACATGTTAACGGGCAGACGCGTTGTTGACTGTACAGTGGGTAACTTTATGTGACTGCAACACGACGGTCACCTATATAGCTGGCTGACTATATAGGAGCCGATGGAGTAGCAGCTACGGCGACGATATATAATCTCTCCCTGGTCTTCCAAGACGATAAGGCGACCCGCTCCCAGACGGTGAGGACGATCCACTCCAAGATGTCGACAGCGACGACGGTCCAATTTCGAATCCCCACAGCAGCCCAGAGCCTCCGCTCCGTGCTGCCTTTAATCTCCCCCTCCGGCTCGGCCACGCCCTTCGACTCAGCCACGCCCCTTTTCCCCGACCGCTCTCTCTCGCCTCATTTGACCCTGCCTGTCCCTGTCGCTTCAATTACTATTTACGACCACTAGACCTCGTGCTGTCCTTACACATGTAAACATGTGGATAACCGGCAAAATTAACATGTGGATAATAGGAAGGTGAAGGCACATTAATTTTACTGTTTACGTGCATGCTTGTGCACATGCATTCACCCATACAGCTCGAGTCTGTCTTCTTTCCTTTCTTTGAAGCCTTTTTCACCCTCTATGGTGTCTTAGTTGCAGTAGAAGCTGGATATAAGAACACTGCGTATAAGCACACTTCTAATCCAAGTTACACATCCTTACATCACACTGGTTGGGTTAAGTGTGGTAACATCGCACTTTATAAAGATGCACGCTAAGCTGTGTGCTTACATGCAACTTCTACTGTATACCTAGCCTGGGTCAATGAGGCCTAGTGACGTCATCACTACTTATCGGCAAATGTTGTCGTCCTGTGTGCCTAGCTTGTGTGCCCATTCATAAGTGTGTTTGAACCTTTGTGTGCAGCAGAATGTGTATGCATGCATGCTACCTGGTGCAGTGTGTCATCATTGCCACTAGGGAGACAAAGGCAGCCAGGCGTGCTGCTGGCCACACCCACACCCTCGTGGGTCGTGCTTGGCCATCGGGCTATACGGGCAACCTTTGTCTTTGCTCATGTGTGATGTATGCGCGTCTGTGTCCTGCAGCTGGCTTCCTACTTTGGCTACACGGTGGCAGTCACGGATGTGAATAATGACGGGTGAGTCTCCTCAGTGGGGGGGGGGGGGGGGCCGGCACACCTCCAGAGGAGGACACAAGTCACGGAGAAGGAGGATGTGCATCTGGTGAAGGATGTCATCTTAGCGCAATGCACAAATAGCTTATGAAAAAGAGCTACGTAGCTCAGTCGGCCTTACTTGGTAAAATAAATAAATGTTTTGCTTTCAGTGGTGGGGAGGTAAGTGATTGAGATCCTGGTGAATGGGGAGACGTATGTACATGTCTTGCCTACAAGCTCTCTAAGTTCGTTACGCCTCATCTGTTCGACGAGTAGTTGGTCTATGCTTTTACTTTTGTCTTCATGTGCACATGGATTGCAATTGTTTTTATGCTCGTTGGTTACGGCTGCTGGTTTTTCATTAGAACTTGGTGCAGAAGTCCAGCGTGACCATATAAAACGTGCTTTGTCATTCATATATATGTTTTTTTTGTCTTCATTAGCATTTCAGTGATCCTTAAAGTTTATTGGCCAAAAAAATAAGGAATAAATAGTGTCACATGGATCTAATTTTCTTCAATATGGTTTCCTCGAGTCTGAATCAACAAAGCTTTCACTGTATGGGCATTCAGTCACATGCCACTAATTATTTCTAACTGGTGCAATTACATTGCTCAGGCAGTTGGTATATGCGAATGGTGCATTGCATATGGAAGCCATCCCTCCCAGTGAATTTACCATTGTAAGGCCCCTGAATCGAAAGTAAATCTACAATTGCAGGGAATTGAAATGTCAACATCTCGGCATTTAAGGATGCCATGCTCTTTGCCAGCAGTTGAACTGATTGATTTGGTGTGTGAAATGTGTAAGCCTTAAGAGGAGACCCCTCTGACAACTGTGGTCTGATTATGTTGGTGTGTCTGTAAGCAGACTTTTTAATGTTCGGGGAAAATGTCATTCTGTTTGCGCTTAAGCAACAGTTGCAAAATTTGAACCCATTTCTAGGGAAGGAAATTACAGTGCGCCACTAACTATGCACAATTGTGCATCTGAGAGAATTAACATTACTGTGTCGTCATGTCAATGGTTAAAGGGGTTTGTTGCAGTTTTAAACAAACATTTTTTATTGAGGTCCATATTTTTCTATTTGGATCCTTGCAAATAAATATTATGCCTTTCGCAACACTGGTTATTTGAAGATAATTTTCTGTAAAGATGTTGCATTATTCCCCACCTTTTTTTTCATGCCCATGACTCAAGAAAGGATTAATCGTGAGGCAAAAAAAAAACGAAAACACGTCATTATTCGTAGGCATTGATTGTAACAATTATCACAATCTGACATTTGATCTTATTTTCAGAACTTCTTCAACATCCTCAATTAGTTATTTGCCCTAAATGAATGCAAATGCCAGATACCTGAGAGTAAACCAATTTAGCACATTGTTCTGAAGTATTTTTGACAGGAAATATTATCGTCGGTTGTTAGTTGGAGGGGTACCTTAACAGCCCCCTTTCATTGCAACATATCCTTAAATAAACTTGGACACTGTTACCATAGTGAGGGGAATTATTATTTTACAACGTCAGATTCACTCTGTGTCATCCTCATTTCCTGTTCAGTCAATTTCACGATAAAAGCCAGTGTTCTAGCTTCCATATGTGTCACTCATTTCTGCTATTATACAGTAAGAATTCTATCTCCTCTCTTTATTATTCACATTTTAAATTGGCATTCGACCATATTTATTATATTATTTGGGTCTTTCGGTAAAGTCAAGTAGATAGGTTCAAAGAAAATAACAAAAAACTACGACGTTTCGAAAGCTTTAAGTCATATTTATTATAAGTCTTATATCGCATAATTCGATGTTAAACGGGGGCATTGGGCTGTATATTCCTTTTCACTGTTTTTCAAATATCCTGCATTTTATCGTTTTCACTTTGAATTATGCATATGTTTTGAAGCAAAACAAAGCATAGCCACGAATGTTACATCACTACAACAAAACTAGTGGTTGTCATAACATTGTTAGAATTCGAGAAATGTCTTCACATGCAAGTTTACGATTATGTGATGGCATGCGCAGTCTGGAAATTGATATGGCACAGCAAAAGATAATTGTTTTCATGGAAATCAACTTAAAGGCGTATTTTATTATATTTCCACTGTGAAATGTTGTCCAGTAAAATATACACGTGTGGCGTTTTATTGATATAAATGCCCACATGAAAACAAATGAAAATAACAAAGCTGTTTTCATGTATTACAATTACTCGATCTTAAAATGTTAAATGTTTAGCAACTCTTGAGTAGAGTGCACCATTGTTAATCGAATCCCTGTATGTCACTGAATCGGGCCCAACATGTTGACTACTTTATTATTTGTACATTTCAGTATCACAAATAGCCTTTTGTGCACCACAATTGCTGCACGTGGCACCCAGCATAATGTTGTGATTATGCAGATAAGGCAATGCTATTCAGAGCCCTTATATTTTACAGGGGATTATTTGAGGCCCAAATAGCTGTGCTTCTCAGACTTGCCTTCATACCCCCAGCCAATTAGCCAAAGTCCATTTTAACTACTGGTCAGCAGTTGGCTCAAGATTTTAGCACCGGGTCAATTTTGATGACTATAGTCCAACTACTTGAAGGGATGTTTGGTGACTCATTCACAGATTGAGCCATAACCATATTCAGCAGCCACACCCAGCAAGCTGATATTGAAGCAATGTAGCAAATAGGTTGTCTTGTCAGTGTGGATTTTGAGTTCGTCATTTGCATGTTCTTTTCCATGAAACACTCGCTTATTCTACCACACGAACTCAAAAAATGTTGATCAAATATCGAAAACAGAACTACAAAATACTCTTGAGTGTTAGTAACGCTTTCCTGAGTTAAGAAAAAAATGTTATTTGTATTTGCCTCAACGTGCACAATGATTCAATATTGGTGTGATAATGTTATAAGGGAGAACATGGTAGTGAATTGGTTTCTTGTATATCACAATGAAGAATAATACCCTCATTGGTATGATCACCATTATTACTGATATAAGTGGCTACCCACCCACACATTGCAACTGGAATGAGTACCTCAGAGCAAGGAATTAAAAGTCCCAAGGTGTAAAATGTATGTGCCTTCCGTTATGCTGAATACATGGCCTTGAAACCTGGGCATTTGAAATGGAAAATATTTGGAACCCGAACTTGGCTTGTATTGGCTTGGCCTCTAGGCATTGGGCATTTCAAGTTAGGTCCACTGCTTACCCTGGCTGGCTGCTTGCCTTGCCTGGTTCCATTACCACAGAAAATCTTAGCATTTCAGAGCTTAGGCGGATTGGTTTGTAGGTAAGGCATTCCTAGCAATTGCAAATTACTTTTGCATAAGGTCAATGGAAAGCCACAAAGGAGCACAGTTTGCTGGAATGTTTTTAGAGTTGGGTGTGGCGTTTTCTGTATTTTTAGTGAGTGAAATTTAATTTGGGCAAACGTGCACTTTTTGGCAATGTTCCAATATATATGGTCAAAGTGAGGGCTTTATTGTACGATATCTGCCAATTAAAGTGAGACTGGCAGTTGTAATGTGTAGCCATTAGTCGGTCGTGTAATAACATATATCTAAAGTTATTTAACCTCAGGCCAATATCCATCAACCTTACCTAAAGCCCACTTTATTTGTGTGAGTTATATAATATAAAAAAAATGTACCAACGAATGTATGGTATGCATTGTACCATGAAAGGCCGAACGCTGTGTGAATATGGATGGCTTGGATAGCTGACTCGCTGTGAGATGCATTCCCTGAGTTTTCCTGCACCAAAGTTCACCCAAATTCTCAAAATAATAAAAGCCCCATGAATTCTGATGAAGTCTCCTTGATGCCAAAAAATGCCTCTACTTCCGCTCGCTCAAGTGGCACCTATATTAATCCATTGCTAAATATTTTCATCTTTTATGAGGCACTTGTTTTCTTTAAAGAAAATCAGCATAGATGTGTGAGCAGTTAAGTATATACATATCTGCAATAGGTGATTAAAATCTGTCAATTTTTAATGATCGCATGAAGCATCGATCATCAGTTTTTTGTAGCTTTGTGTATTCGTTGTAATATGGAATATTGAACAAAGTTTACTCTGCACATCACCACCGTTGCACCCTAACTATGGAATGCCAGTTGGCTTCACTATTAATACCTACTTGGCCGATCTAAAAAGAGGAATGTTGTTCATGGTACTTTGTGTGTTAAAAGTGGTGTAGTGCTTGGTGTGGGGCACGGTAGTGTAGTGGTTAGCACACTGCACTATGAACCTGGTGGCCTGAGTTCAAACCCTGCTCACAGCCAACCAGGGTCACGAATATCTAAACTGGTCCTGTGCCTCATCTGGGTCTACTCAGCCTTTCTATGGGTATCTGGTGTGGTGTATAAACATCAGCACCATGGAGACAAAGGCAGCCGGGCACGGTTCTGGCCACCCACATGTTTGTGCTGGCCTTAACAGGTGCTCTCGCTAACAGAACTTGCTCCAACAGTCTGTTAAAGTTTTTTTTTGTGGGGGATCTTTGTCTTTGGTGATTTGTGTATGTCACTGCAGTTCTATCGCAGCCCTGGTCCATGGTACGGCCCCAGTTGAAATATGTGACTGAATCTGTTCTGGGCCTCCTACACCTATACTGAAGCCGAAACTGGATACGAAGTGTGGCTGTGTTGTCAGCACTGGGGAAAGTTTAGGTAGCCAGATGTGGTGCAACACAGCCTCGGATGCGAACCAACACCACTTGCCCATAGTCTATAAGCCTAAACTGATTAACTCATATTTAATTACTGGATATGCATCTCAGTGGCCATTGTGCTCTGTATTTCACCGACATAAAAAAACAACGAAATAACCCGGAGTGCAGGACTCGGGGAGTAACAGGTGGGCAGGCACGAGGGATGCATGGGAGACAGATGGCTGGATACAAGTAGCACAGAGGAAAGGCTTTCCCACCTTTCCCCCCCCCCCCCCCCATGGACTCTCCTAACGTTACCGAGTGTTTGGTAACCGTGCTCGCCCCAACAGTGTAAACGCTCGTGCTACACACCCAGGGGTGCTAAATTAAAACTAAAGTATTTATAGTTTTTCCAGGTAAGGCCCACTGAGCCGGAAAGTTATTTTTCGGAAGTGACCTGGCCACGAATGAAAGCTCAACGAAAGTGGGCTTATCACGTGGACATTTACAGCAGCCAAATGCTCTAAACGCACGTCGATTCTAAATGTGGAGGGGAAAAAACGGAGAACCCGGATACAAATCCACGCAACCATGGGGAGAACGTGTAAACTCCAAATAGACGGGCATTGTCAGGTTCTGGATGGAACCTACAATCTCCCGTATACCAGCCGAGGTAGTTAACATCTTGACACCGTGGCGTATGCCGTGTGCCATGCACGTGTCCCCCCGCCCCCCCACACAGGCTGGACGACCTGCTCGTGGGCGCCCCTCTCTACATGGAGCGCGGCTCCCAGGGTCGCCTGGAGGAGCTGGGCCGCGTTTATCTTTACCTGCAGCAGGCGCCGCTCAGCCTGGGTGCCGCACAGACGCTGTCCGGCCGAGACGTTTATGGCCGCTACGGCAGCGCCATCACGCCGGTTGGAGACCTCGACCAGGATGGATATAATGGTGGGCGGATTCGGTGTTGACACTAGGGGGGCACCACGGTGGCGAGATGTTGGCTACATTGCCTAGTATGCGGGCAGTCGTGGGTTCAATCCCAACCCTGACACCAGTATATTTGTGGTTTGCAGTCTCTCCCCATGGTTGAGTGGACTTTTCTCCCGGGTCCTCCGGTTTTTTCCCTCCGCATTTACAATCAAGATGCATTTCGAGTTTTTGGCTGCTAAACATTTCCACATGATAAGCCACTTTGTTGCGCTGTCATTTGTGGCCAGATCGCTTCTGTCAAAGAGCTATACAACTCCGTGGGCCTTAACCGGTAAAATAAAAAAAAATCGTTCAGTTGTAATAGTTTGGAGTGAATTGGAGTTCAGCGAGTTTATCTCTCCGTTGTGTTTTCGAGCCATACTACCGCCTATGGTTCAGCAAAGCAAAGATGGCCGATGCTTTGCTGCACGTGCTGGGAGGTTCCTCGGCAACCGAATTGAAAAAGCTCCCACCCAGCATCTGGAGCGAAACGTCTGACGTCATGCTGAACAATGGGCTACAGAATGCAAAAACATCGGCACTTTACAGCACAACCATGGAAACATACTCTGAAGCGAGTTGCTTAGCCAGACGAAGTCCGTGGTTGGTTGCAGAAATCAACGTGAAATATTCCGTTATCAATATAAATCAAAAGTTGCAGTGTCAACCTACTCACATTTATTAGGCAGTACTCTTTTCTGATGTTAGTTATACAAATGTTACATTCCTTTGAAGGTAACCAGTCTGTTCTTTGGACTACCATAGCGTACTTGCCACAAGGTGATTCTCATTTTACGCACTTTGCACACAGCATGAGTATCTGAACCACTTCCGTTGGCCTCCTAATCGGTTGAGTCTGGCCACCGCACGTTAAAATAAATAGATCAAAATGATGGCCAAGCGTGATTCTGGCCATCGGATTCCTAATGTGCCAGGCAATGCCTGTTTTAAATTAGTGCTCGCTAACAGGACTTACCTTGACAATCTGTCCAGGCTAAATGTGTGTGTGTGTGTGCTTGTCTTTTTGTAGTGGTGAGTGCACATTCTGTTCAAGACTACACTGGGGATTTCTGTCTTATGGGTAACCCATACCACCTGGGTCACTCTCATAACCGCCTATGGTTTCAGAGTGCACATAGCCTTGTAGAAGCACTGTGGTGACCTCGCCTCCAATTGATGTGGAATAACAGCTCCTGTGTGCATGCGTGTCTGTGTTCATCACAGACGTTGCAGTGGGAATGCCGTTTGGAGGGGAGGATGGCACCGGTGTGGTGTTTGTTTATAACGGGCGAGACACGGGCCTGATGGCTATACCATCCCAGACGCTGCGTGGACGCTGGGCATCACAGGGCCTCCCGGCCAGCTTCGGATTCGCACTCCGTGGGGGAACTGACCTCGACTCAAACGGCTACCCAGGTGATGTGCGGCTCTTCTCCTGCTGACAAGTCCCACGATCTCTTGCAGGAGGGAGGGCACTGTCGACATCCTCTTTCACCGACAAGCGACACGTAGCCCCTGAGCTTAACCTGCTCTCTCAAACTCCACACCCCCCCACCGACCCCCCCCCCCCGCCACTCCCATCAGCTAGCGCCTATATTAGCATGCTCACGCCTCTGGCATGGGAGGTATAATATATATTTTTTAACAAGAGTCTGGTACAAACCGTAACAAGGGGGGGTTGGGGGGGGGGGTGGTGGACAGATAGAAACTCTGTAGACTACAGCCCGAAATCACTACTCCTGGTTATTAGATGAGGGAAGAATATTGGGCTCACTGCCCCCATCCAGGTATGTATAGGGGCGGGGGAGGGGGGCGATAAGGGAAGAAGAACAAAAGTAAGGGGATAGAAGGGGCCGGGGTGGGGGGGGGAGAATATCATCTCTAAACCCGACTTTACATTCTCTCCCATGTCAAACTCTCTGACATCTACTGTTCGCTATTGCAAAGCCCTCATTTTATATCCACCTGCATTTTACATCACTGATAACCCGTGATTTTAACATCCATGTTAATGAGTTTTTATCTCAGATATTTTATGTTCACTTTGCGAATTCATGGAAGTCTTCCAACTAAGCTCATCTCCCATACCCCAGAACCATCTTCTTTGCCTTGTCATCTCCATCGCGAATTCCTTCTCTCAGAATCCGTTCACATACATGACTTTTGTTCATAATAAACGTTTTTGGGTTAGATCGCGTTATTTATAAATGTGGCGTAACCCTCCACCACCCGACACGGCCAATCGGTAAAAAAAAGTGTCACGTTGACAAAAGGTGTGTTGAAGAGTGAATCCACAACATTTACACGTCCTATCGGACATGCGTCTTCTTCACTTCTGTGTTCTCGTAACATCTATCGATTCCTACTTCATGGAATTCCAAATATCATTCGGAGCACGACCACAACTTGGTCTGAAATGTTCACGGTCCCATAGCAGGTGCCAGTATTCCGTAGGAACACCACTGTTATGTTTTGTTTTTTTAATTGATACAAGTTTTAATTCACCGTGTCCTCAGCGTGGTCGATGGTTACTTTCCATATGGCTGTTTTTAGTGGTCGCAGCACTGCAGCGCCACTTTTTATTGGGGTTACAACCCCAGTCTGCCTTGACATTTTAATTTGATGTCCATGTGCACGTTACTGCACTAACTCGCAGAAAAAAGTTGGTGAATCTATAATTTAATATGGCTCCTGAATACATTTTACAGGCTTTTATGAGGGCCTGATCTTTATGAGGCCACTGGTTATAATTTTTTTGTCGACATTTCTGTACAGTATTCTTTACAAGATGAAGGTCTATCATTGTGGTTGATTACTTGTATTTTTAATGCTGAATAGTAAAATTCTTATAGATCTCGGTAAACTTAAAATGTTAATATTATTTTGCTGCAAATGTAGACTTTGATGCTGAGCATAGGATAAATTAAGCCTTTATGTTAAACAAGTGTTTAAATATTCTTAGTTTTTTCGGTAAAGTCACGTTGAAGAGAAACAACAAAATAATATAATATATATAAAACAATAAAAATTATCACGACGTTTCGACCATAACTCAAACGGTCATCTTCTGAAGATCTTCAGAGTCACGTTGAAGAGTTATGGTCGAAACGTCGTGAGAATTTTTATTGTTTTATATAATATTATATTATTTGTTGTTTCTCTTCAACGTGACTTTACCGAAAAAAAAACTAAGAATATGAATTACTGCAGTCACGAAAGCTTTAAATCAAAATTTAAGTGTTTAAATGTTTGTTTTAACCTTTAGACCACATTTAAGGCATTTTTAAGCCCCGAGGTCCCCTCCCGGGGGGGGCCCCTCTTATACTGTCAGCATGGCCTGGCTTGGCAACGGCCACGCCCCCCTTCTGAAACACGCGAGAAGGTTCTAGATGTGCCCCTTCGTAACCTTTCCCCTACATCCCTCTCTCTGGCCTATCACGTGACCTGCTGTCAGCCAGGGCTGCTGCAACTGCAGATCCCCTTCCCTGCCAGCAGCCAGCGCTATGCTGCTAAGTGACCGGTTCTATGTCACTGCACAGGCATAAAGCAGTTGGCCATTACAGATGCCTCTCCAAGGCTGTATGTATCTTGACTGTTTTTTTTCAAGGCGTTTCTTTGTAGTGTGTTTACCGACGGTTGCTCGCTACATATTGTGATCCACTTATTAATTTGTGTTTTTGTTGAAGGTTTTTAAGTTCGTTGTTTGTTGGTTGTGTTTGCACGTATGTTTGTACTTGGGTGCTTTGCATGTGTACAAGTGTGGTAGAAGTCTTGTATACGTGGAGACCGATCGTTAAAACATTACTGTGATGTTGGTGATCAAGGTTCGCATCTTGCTTGTGCACGTTTGTGACGATCAGCAATGTGGGTTCTGGCCCATGCCTGGTCAATTGTGCATAAAGTAATTGCTGGCAGGAGTGTATCAACATCAGTACTGGCGAAACAAAGGTGGCTGGGTGTGGTGTTGTACCGGTGCTCGTTAACAGCATACTTCCCACAGTATATACAGGATTGCAAAGGGGATCTTTGTCTCTGTGTGTGTTGGTTTAGCATGGTCTACTTTAGGAGGTCCTCCACACTGTGATGACATTGCTGACAACGACTGGGCTATTTTAAATTAAGTATTTTGATCACAGGCTGAGCTGGAGTTGGTGACCTCCATGCTCTGGTTCAGCTGTGCCTTGGTAACCTCCGTGTCACCTCTTGTATTCCTGTTTGCGTGCATTGTTTGGATGGTGGGTTGTATCTAATCCCTCCACCTATCCAGATGGTTTTGTATATCATCAATTTAAATATTATTTCTTTGCGCAGCCTCTCGCGCACAGTGCATCTGTTGGGGTGTGTGAGACCAGTTTACGTAGAGTATGAAGTTTACACAATACAACAATTTATAGTAGGTGGGTGTTTGGCAAATATAATGTCAACATTTTATTACAAAGTGAGAGTTGACATCGGTGATGCAGCTTTGAATCTGCAGTACAATGTATTCCAGGTTGCCATATTCCCCCCACAGTCTGCTGTGTACATGTTACATCTGTATGCATAACGAATGTGGTTTGAGCTGCGTCCAGTAAGCAGGCTGCTGTTAGCGACAGCCAGGCATAGTGGCACACATCTCATATAGAGCTTTGAAGGCAAGGGTTGTTTGATCGTATTCATATCACGTTTTAGATTTTGGTTGATTCTCCCAAACCCGCTGTGCTGTGAGGTAATACATTTGCTTCTATACAGTGAGGGGAAAAAAGTATTTGATCCCCTGCTGATTTTGTACGTTTGCCCACTGACAAAGAAATGATCAGTCTATAATTTTAATGGTAGGTTTATTTGAACAGTGAGAGACAGAATAACAAACAACAAAAAATCCAGAAAAACGCATGTAAAAATGTTATAAATTGATTTGCATTTTAATGAGGGAAATAAATATTGACCCCCTCTCCATCAAAAAGATTTCTGGCTCCCAGGTGTCTTTTATACAGGTAACGAAGTGAGATTAGGAGCACACTCTTTTAAAGGAGTGCTCCTAATCTCATCTTGTTACCTGTATAAAGACACCTGTCTACAGAAGCAATCCAATCAATCAGATTCCAAACTCTCCACCATGGCCGAGACCAAAGAGCTCTCCAAGGATGTCAGGGACAAGATTGTAGACCTACACAAGGCTGGAATGGGTACAAGACCATTTGCCAAGCAGCTTGGTGAGAAGATGACAACAGTTGGTGCGATTATTCGCAAATGGAAGAAACACAAATAACTGTCAATCTCCCTCGGCCTGGGGCTCATGCAAGATCTCACCTCGTGGAGTTGCAATGATCATGAGAACAGTGAGGAATCAGCCCAGAAACTACACGGGAGGATCTTGTCAATGATCTCAAGGCAGCTGGGACCATAGTCACCAAGAAAACAATTGGTAACACCACTACGCCGTGAAGGATTGAAATCCTGCAGTGCCCGCAAGGTCCCCCTGCTCAAGAAAACGCATATACATGCCCGTCTGACGTTTGCCAATGAACATCTGAATGATTCAGAGGACAACTGGGTGAAAGTGTTGTGGTCAGATGAGACCAAAATGGAGCTCTTTGGCATCAACTCAATTCGCTGTGTTTGGAGGAGGAATGCTGCCTATGACCCCAAGAACACCATCCCCACCGTCAAACATGGAGGTGGAAACATTATGCTTTGGAGGTGTTTTTCTGCTAAGGGGACAGGACAACTTCACCGCATCAAAGGGACGATGGACGGGGCCATGTACCGTCAAATCTTGGGTGAGAACCTCCTTCCCTCAGCCAGGGCATTGAAAATGGGTAGTGGATGGGTATTCCAGCATGGCAATGACCCAAAACACACGGCCAAGGCAACAAAGGAGTGGCTCAAGAAGAAGCACATTAAGGTCCTGGAGTGGCCTAGCCAGTCTCCAGACCTTAATCCCATAGAAAATCTGTGGAGGGGGCTGAAGGTTCGAGTTGCCAAACGTCAGCCTCGAAACCTTAATGACTTGGAGAAGTTTTGATTTAAAGCTTTTGTGACTGCAGTAATTCATGATCTTAGTTCTTTCGGTAAAGTCACGTTGAAGGGAAACAATAACATAATAAAATATATATAAAACAATAAAAATTCTCACGACGTTTCAACCATAACACAAACGGTCGTCATCAGGTGATGATGACCGTTTGCGTTATGGTCGTTTCCCTTCAACGTGATTTTACCGAAAGAACTAAGAATATGACTTGGAGAAGATCTGCAAAGAGGAGTGGGACAAAATCCCTCCTGAGATGTGTGCAAACCTGGTGGCCAACTACAAGAAACGTCTGACCTCTGATTGCCAACAAGGGTTTTGCCACCAAGTACTAAGTCATGTTTTGCACAGGGGTCAAATACTTATTTCCCTCATTAAAATGCAAATCAATTTATAACATCTT